ACATTTAACAACATGGACATTTTTTCTTTTACTTTTTTAAATTTAAATTCAATTTAGTTAACATATGCTGTACTATTAGCTTCAGGGGTAGAATTTAGTGATTCAACAGTTGCATATTACATCCAGTGCTCATTCCAACAAGTGTCCTCCTTAATGTCCATCACTCACTTACCCCATCCTTCCACCCACCTCCCCTTCAGCAACCCTCAGTTCGTTTGCTTTGATTAAGCATCTCTTATGGTTTGCCTCCCTCTCTGTTTTTATCTAATTTAATTTTTCCTTCCCCTTCCCATATGTTCATCTGTGATGTTTCTTAAATTCAACATAAGAGTGAAATCATACAGTATTTCTTTCTCTGACTGACTTATTTTGCTTAACATGATACCTCTAGGGACACCTGGCTGGCTCAGTTGGTTAAGCATCTGCTTTCAGCTCAGGTCATCAGTGTCCTGGGATCGAATCCTTCATTGGGCTGCTTGCTCAGCAGGGAGCCTGCATCTCCCTTTGCCTGCCTCTTCCCCTGCTTGTGCTCTCTCTCTCTCTCTCTGACAAATAAAACCTTTAAAAAATAAATACCTTCTTGTTCCATCCACATAATTGCAAATGGCAAGATTTCATTCTTTTGATAGCTAAGTAATATTCCATTCTCTATCCATTCAGCTGTAGATGGAAATCTGGGCTCTTTCCATAATTTGGCTATTGTGGACGTTGATATTCTAAACACTAGGGTACATGTGTCCACTCAAATCACTATTTTTGTATCCTTCAGATAAATACGTGGTAGTGAAAGTCCTGGGTCATACAGTAGTTCTAGTTTTAACTTTCTGAGGAAACTCTGTAACTGTTTTCCAGAGTGGCTGCACCAGTTTCTATTCCCACCAATAGTGTAAGAGGGCTCCCCTTTCAATATGGACATATTTTAAAAAATCATTATGCCAAGGAAAAGAAGGCACACAGAAAGGACTACATGATGAAGGATTCCATTGTTTATGCTATTCTGAAAGATCAAACAATTTGGGCAAAAATCCGATGAGTCTTTGCCAGGAACTAGGAACAAAGAGAGGACACGGAATGCTAGGGCTATGATGAGATTTTCTGGGCATGGAAATTGTGTATATCCTGATTGTAATGGTGTTTATGTGCTTGTACATCAACCTGTATACTTAAGAAGGGAGAATTTTAGGGTGTTTGGATGGCTCAGTCGGTTAAGCATCCAACTTTTGGTTTTGGCTCAGGTCATGATCTCAGGGTTGTAGGACCGAGCTCCACATAGGGCTCTGTGGTCAGCAGGCATTCTGCTTGAGATTGGCTCTCTCCTTCCCCCTCTGGCCCTCCCCTTTCTTGCAGTCACTCTTTCTTTCTCTCAAATAAATAAATAAATCTTAAAAAAAAAAAAAGAAGGGAGAATTTTACTGTATGTAAACCATTATTTCAATTCATCTATTAGGTCTAAGTTAAACAAAAATCATAGCATACCAAGGTCTAACAGACCAAAGACAATGAAATAATCATCTTCCTTAACTGGGATAACATATTAAGAATGAAATTTGAACTGGTATTTGATTTAGGGCAACCATTTCACAGTTTTGTTTTTGATAAAGCTTATAATCCATTAAAATATCCTATATGTGTCTAGTTTTTCTTTTTTTTATTAAATGCAGTGCATTGAGTAGTACATCAGAAACTAATGAGGTGCTATATGTAGACTAACTGAATTTAAATATAAATAAATAAATGCAGTACTGTATACCAACCTTTAAAGATTCCATCTGCTATTTATTTTTTTTCATTTTTCTAAGATTTTATTTATTTATTTGACAGAGAGAGGGATCACAAGTAGGCAGAGCAGCAGTCAGAGAGAGGGGGAAGCAGGCTCCCTGCTGAGCAGAGAACCTGATGTGGGGCTCGATCTCAGGACCCTGAGATCATGACCTGAGCTGAAGGCAGAGGTTTAACCCACTGAGCCACCCAGGCACCCCTCATCTGCTATTTCTACTACATGAACTTCATGAGATATTTTTGATTCTGTACATTGCTGTACAAGAGTATATTCTGTATAATTTTATATCATCCACAATTTAGTCAGCATGCCTTACAAAAAATATTGTTCTTTGTAGAAAAGTCATTTTTAAATTTTTTGTTTGGTTTACACTAGATTATATGAAATGCATTTGTTTATGATAACAGAATCTAAGAAACTGATAAAATATGAAGGTTCTGAAGACTGATAAAATGTCTTTGCAAGTAAAGTTATTGATATTCTGTTATAATGTTCCTTTAAGAAAAAAAAAAAAAAGATTTATTTATACATTTGAGGCAGGGAGGGGCAGAGGGAGAGGGAGAGAATCTCCAGGACACTCCCTGCTGAGCATGGAGGTTGACATGGGGTTTGATCTTATGACCCTGAGATCATGACGTGAGCCAAAATCAAGAGTCAGATGCTGAACCAACTGAGCCACCCAGGCACCTTCATTCCTTTTATTTTTGGAAAGAAACATTCTAAATCTTTTTTTTTTCTTTTAATTCAACTAGTGTCAAATTATTTTTAAATTATATAAATTATTATGAGGTTTTGTTACTTTTAGTTTTCTTCACCTTTATATGTTTTTGTTTGAATTTGTAATAATCCTTTTTTTTAAGATTTTATTTATTTATTTGACAGACAGAGAGCACAAGTAGGGAGAGAGGCAGGCAGAGAGAGAGAGGGGAAGCATGCTCCTTGCTGAGGAGAGAGCCTGATGCAGGGCTCAATCCCAGGACCCTGGAATTATGACCTGAGCTGAGGGCAGAGGCTTTAATCCATTGAGCCATGTAGGTACCCCCTAATCCTACCTTTCTAATTTGTCCTATAGAACACACATATGTTCTCTCTCAACTGAAAGGATATTTTCTTTGAGTAAATTAGAATTTATATACTAATTCTTAGATTAGTATAAAAACATTTTAACTATCAAATAAAAGATTCCTCCCCCAAGCAGATAGGAAGGTATATCTTCCATGTTAATATTTATTACTGATAAACTATGCTATATTTTTAGAAAATTAGGTTTAAATGTTAGTATTTTACATTTCTCTTAGATGTGCCAAGATATTTTAAAAAGCAGTATATTCTCAGACATTTCTATAGATAGATATTTCTCTAGATTTGATAGTCCTTAGTAGTTTGTTATTTCTATTTGCTTATGAATTTCAATGATTACTTATCTTCCAGAGTTCTCAAAATACAAATATGGTAAAATTCAGGAAGGAGAAGATAAATTTTAAAATAACCCTTTCCAGTGGCCAGATACTTGAGCTCACACTTTCCTTCTGATCACTCACTTATACAGAAATATCTTAACTTTCTAAGAGAGACATCTGCTGCTGAATTTCTTCTTTTGATTTTTTTCAAGGCAGGTAAGAGAGTCACAGAATGCAAAGCAGTACAAAGCACATGAGGAATTCACTTACAGAACTGGATATAATTTAGGGCATGCACACTGGGGTTTTGCTGATCTCAAATGTACAGATTTATCTATTTCATCTTTCATAATGTCTTCTTTATTATACTACATATGGAAATGTCAATGAAAACTATTAAACTAGAAAATACTTTATGAAAGTCATAAAATGTTAGTTTGCATTACATTTCAATCAGGCATTATGGTTAAACTAAAGCACTGTTCATTATTTAGCTCAGTTTCTATGATACTCACCGGAAATTCTATGGGCATCTAAAAGGTCATTTCTAATATACACCAATAACCCTTCAGGTTGGAGGAAAACCACCCCCAGTGGTGACATTATTACTTTCATTCTGAGAAATAACATATATCATTTTATCTGTAGTATATGTCATAAAAAGAATGCAAAAATAAAATTGAACTCAACTAATAAACAGGAGAGATGTTCTGAAAACCTCTTTGAAATAGGCCAGAAGGGACTAAATTTTTTTTAAGATTTTATTTATTTATTTATTTATTTGTGAGAGAGAGATAGCATGAGTGCACTTGAGAAAGGGGAGGGGCAGAGGGAGAGACTCTAGCAGACTCTGTGTGGAGGGTAGAGCCGACTTTAGGATTAACCTCAGGACGCTGAGATCATTAACTGAGTGGAAATCAAGAGTCAGATGCTTAACCGACTAAGTTATCCAGGGGCCCCCAGAGTGAATAAGAAAAAAAAAATTTTTAAATATAAAACAATTGGGGGCTCCTGGGTGGCTCAGTGGGTTAAGCCTCTCAGGGTCCTGGGATTGAGCCTCTGTTCAGTAAGGAGCCTGTTTCCCCCTCTCTGCCTCCTCTCTGCCTACTTGTGATCTCTGTCTGTCAAATAAAGAAATAAAATCTTAAATAAATAAATAAGTATTTTTTAAATGTCTCGTGAGACATTATCACAAGCCACATGATTTTTTTTCAAGTTATTCTATAGGAAAATGTGTGCTATTCTTTCCCATAAGTATTTTTAAATAATATTTTCTAAATATCTTGGAATTAGTTATCACTATATTCTAGGAACTAGACATAGATCCTGCTTTTCGGGTGCTTACAATGTTGTCAAAAAGATAGAGCAGGTCTCAAATCTGCTCAAACCATGAGCAAGGAGGAAGTCTAAAAGTAACGAAGTTTACCAAAAAGTATCAAGATTAACAGAATTGAGAATTTGAGAACTAAATTCAATTTTTAAAAAACAAATTTATAATTTTACATGTTCTCTATAACTGTAAAGATTCTACCTACACCTATCACCATAGTAAGTACAGAATTGCAGAACATAAAAAACTGGTTAAAGGAACATTGATGAAAAATATAAGCGACAGATTATTACTTAAAACAGATAGTTTGGGGCATATTAAATACAAATGAAAACATCAGGACAATTTATATAATTTCTCAAATTATAGAGAAATAGGCATTTCATTAATAATAATAAATTTATTATATATAATATTATATATAATAATATATATATGTGTGTGTGTATATATATATAATATAATTTTATTAAAAAATAGTCCATCTTACCTCTATTACCAGTTGCCGAAGAGATGGTGAGGCTATGGAATGTAGACTTGAGTTACCCCTTATGGGACTATGGAGACTAACATAAGCCACGACATTTCTCTGCAGAACTTTCCTGAAATCCTGAAACCAAAACAAATAAACCAAGAACCATTAAATAAAAGAAAGAGATTTTACTTTATCAGTTATGTGTTGAATAATAAACACTCCCTACTTAAAATCATTATATTGCAAAAAAAAAATCATTACATTGCACAATTACTGTTTTAAAAAAAATGTACTCTATTAGAGTGTACAAAGGTCATAAAAGGATTTTAAATAAAAGGGATAAGGAATTACATATCACACATGACAAAATATTTTTAAACATGTTCCTGAAGAAAGTCAAATCTTAAAAGAAAATATTCTTAAATGGCTAAGCTAGTATAAGATTCGACTTTAGAGTATAGATAGAAAGTTTGCTCTAGCCACAGCACTTTATTTTATAGTTACTGAATTACAGAACAGACATGGGTAAACTACTTCAGTGATTAATCAAACTAGGCCTTTCCTTTGAGACAGTGAGCTAATTTTTACATGCAGTAGCTCTTTATTCTGAGCAAAATGGGACATAATACACCTTTGTCCCTGCACATATTACCTGAAATAAAACTTGATACATTTTATGCACATGAGTAGCATAAAATGATGTCAGCAGAATAGTTCTTCTACTTCTTTGCTGAGCCCTATCCCCCAAAACTGAAGACCACTATGCCTATTAATAAGGTGCTGCTAAGACAGCCTTCTGTTATGTTCCTCCTTTTTTGCATAAATATGTAATGACTAGTCATCATGATGACAATTCTATAGAAATGACCTAAAAACTGTCATACTTTGTATCTTAGGACCTTACCTTTCTTCCTCCCACATATGACATGTAAGACGTCAAGAGCCTGTCTTCCTGGCAAATCAGTATGTGACTCCTATTTTAAGTTGAAAATTCAGCTACACCTCTGTAAGAGAGGTGAAGACATTTCATTTAAAATGAATAACTATTTCAGGGGCACCTGCATAGCTCAGTGGGTTAAATAAAGCCTCTGCCTTCGGCTCAGGTCATGATCCCAGGGTCATGGGATTGAGCCCCGCATCAGGCTGTCTTCTCATCAGGGAGCCTGCTTCCTCCTCTCTCTGCCTGCCTCTCTGCCTACTTGTAATCTCTGTCTGTGAAATAAATAAATAAATAAAATCTTTAAAATAAATAAATAAATAAAATGAGTAAATGTTTCAAATGGACAGGAATGATAAACTGAAGCTTAAATACTCTGCACATAATAATGTTTTTAAAAAGTGTCCTTTTTTTAAGAAAAAAATGTCCGGCAAGTGCTGTGGCAAAACAACTTCTATTTACACAGTAGCACATAGGAACTGTATATATGTTAGTGCATTTAACACTCATGAGAACCTTGCATTAGTACATGTGCAGAGGAATCAAGTCTTGGAGAAGTTAATCTCGCCTAACACCACAGAGTTTTATGGTAGAAAGAATTTCAAGTCAGACTTTCTGACTGTAAATTCTGTAGCATTTCCGCAGTTGCCTATGGAAATGAAGAATCTACAAAAGAAGAAAAGAAGAAAAAAAGTACTTTTCATTTAGTAAATGGTACTATTTTATTTAGAAATGGTACCAATTATTTAGTAAAATGTGATAATTTTCCTCAAGGATAAATATCAGTATTGAGTCACTTCTATAATAACTCTATCACTATAAATTCCAGTTCTAAGTTTAGTGAGCAATATCTCCTAATCTTTTTAATTACAACTGTGGGTTTCCTGTGCAAGTAAAATTAAATAGGGCAGTATGACACGTCAGTAAGTGCTTTCCTCACTCATCTTCACTGGGAAATTAGGTTAGACCGTAACTTGATTTCAACTAAAAAGAAAATGTTTTGTTCTCAGGAGTAGATTTGGTAAAAGAAGACAGAACAGGAAAACCAGTAGTTTTCTAAATAGTTTTCTAAATTCCTTCTCAAGCAGATACTTACAAAATGACTTCATGAACAGTATTGTAATAATCTTCTGAGACATAGTAATTTTACATAGTACACTTCATGAGCCAATAATCAAATCTATATGTTATTTGCCATATTCTTCACTCTTGTATCTTTGCCTATCTAGTAATGGAAAAAGCCAGAAAGTGACTGAACGGATAACTGGTTGCCAAACATACATATATACATACCTACATAAAAATGTAAGGACAGAGGTTCCTACTATTTTTGAATAGGAAGGGTCTTTTCTAATATAAATAGTTTTCTCTATGGGCTCCCACATTTTTGGGTTTTTAGTTGTTTTAGCTGTATTTGCTGATAGAGAAAAATATAAAACTATCAAAAGATAAAATGAATTCAGTAAAACTTACAAATAAATCTATATTTTGTCAAACACAAAAAAATCAATTTTTTTAATCTCTTCAATTTTAAAATATAATTGCCCCCATACATACAAGGCCACATTATTGATCGAATTTACAGGCTGTGGTGCTTGGTGGTCAAATAAATTCAAAGAATTTTTGCAATGCACTTCCCCATGCATAGGGCTCAGGATACATAAGTTAGGAACTACTAATATTGGAAAAGCCAACTTTCAGAACATAGCTTAGAACTATATGTGCTAATTTAGGAATAACATAAATTTAATGTAAAAGTTACTAGACAGATATGGAGAAGGCTGCATGACATAAAGGAATAAATTTTTGGAATTTGAAAATCTTTAAGACACACTTTTTAAAATGTACCTTAATGTTGCAAGAAAACTAAAATACTGTTTTATGAAGAAAAAAATTCTGAAATACTAAAATCAAACCATATCACAAATATATTCCCCAAAATGCTTTTTAACTTATTTATGTCTTTAAAGTAATTTAGAATAAAAGTTTGAGAAGTTGGTTCAGCTATTACATTTTCCATCTAACTAAAAATTTGTCATAAATTTAAAAAGTTTCTTTCAGCAATAAAATTGATTCAGTTCTTTTGAATATGAAACAAACACACAACTAATTTGAGTATGAAAAATATTCTAATTTGCAACATGTATATCTTGATAAGTTTTACACTAAACTTTTTCCATTGTTAAGAATACTTTTCTTCAAATTAAAAAGATACTTGCTATTTTTTTGTGTGTATCTTTTTGATATTTTCTTTGCGGTCAATAGACTATTTTATCTTTTTTTTTTTAATACTTAAAAAACGACATAGGAGAATTTCCCATTAAATATTTAGGGTTTTGTTTTGTTTTGTTTTACCTAAGCTGAGGTAGTAAATAAACTAGAATATCAAATTGTTTTATTTTCCTAGATAAAATTGTATGGATTTTTTTCCTACACTTTTCCACCAACCCTCTTAAAAAAAAAAAATCATCAAGTAAATAGACTAAGAGTTTTAAAATGTTTTCATTGTTTTTAACATGTCATCAATTCAATTATCATTTGATATATCCCATTAAAAATACAATATGTCTGTGAAACCCATACCTATCAAAAGCATTGGAAACTTAAACATTCCAGTGGCATTCTAACTATGACTCATTGCATAGAGATTTCACTTGGACAAAGCCTTTCTAAGGTAGTTTCGGTAGGTAGGTGGGTTAATAGATTTGTAGAAAAGAAGGAACAGAGAGATAGACGTGTAAGAATAGAAGGATGCAATGGAGGGAGTGAGAAGGAAGGAAACCACTATTCTGAGGCCAATCTACATATGGTATAGATATGGTATGATCCTTAGGTAGTAGATATTTAACATAGAAGACTGCTTCCTAATTCCAGATAACTGCCCGAAAGTTGGGGGGGGGGAGTAGTTGTATGCATTACCTGATCTTTTCTTCTCCAGTAACTATCAACCTGTCTAAGGAGAAACAATAACCAGGTAAACACAACCGTGGGGTAGGTCTGGGAGCAACAAGAGTAAGATAGTTGCAGATCAAACACAATGCACTGGGGTCTAATCCCCCCCTCTTTCTTACAGGTGATCTCAGCAAGTTAGAAGATAGGACAGCTGGTTGAAAGGCACATTCTTATCCCTGGCTTCAGAACTTTATTTTGTCAACTTTAGTCAGAGAGAGAGAGAGTGCATGAGAGCAGGAAAAGCATAGTAATTAATGTGCATTTACCTCTCCCCATTCATATGAGCCAATATTGCCAAAAGCTGTTCCTCCCCATGAACAGAAAACAATCGTGTGGTCTGGTCTCCACCCTTTCTTAACTTTTAACATCAAGGCCCGGATAAAAGCAGTGATTACAGCAGTGCTGCTGGCCCATTCTTGTCCATAAGAACCATACGCACTTTGATGGTGGCTGCCAACTATGATATACCGGTCTAGAAATAGAAGGAGACAAGGGCCATTAAGACAAAATATAAACCTTAACAATAAATTTAATGACATTTACATAATCCTTTGCATAACTGAGCACCAATTAGGTAAAACTGTCCTAATAATTAAGACTACTTTAACATTTTTCACCCACTGTCTTGATTCATACATCTGTGTATATCAAAGCAGAAGCAGCTGCTGAACTCAATTATGATTCCAAAGCTTAGATCCATATTACTGTCCTTTGCAACATGCATATTAATTAATGAAGTATACAAATATGCCACAATGAAACCTTTATCTAAAATTTTTCCAGAATCATAGTGGGAAGTGCCCCGTAAACAATGTGTGTATGCTCAGTAAATATTAATGAACTATTAATACATATGAGGGAGCAGTTATTCAGTGGCTGTAAATATTAAATAATGTGGTAGTCATATATGGATTTTGAAATAAATGAAGTATTTAGGGAATTAATTACAGCTTCCAGCTTATAGTCTTAGCTCTTCTCATTTCCCTGAAGGAAAAAAAAAAAAAATCAACATCAAAAGTCATACAACTACTGCAAAAGTTTTCTTCCCACATATTTCACATAATCATACAAAACCCATTAGACACAACATAGAAAGATCTCCACAACACATGGATGGGGCCTACTCAATGTACATTACTGACTATTGTTAATAATAAGGTAGACTAAAACTCTATCTCCAGAGTTTCCTCCGATTTTGTTGCCACTGAATGTTACTGGTGTTGATCTATATTTCTTTCACCAAGTAGCCCAATACATCTGTGTAAAAAGATTTCTTCAGAGTGTCATTTTATTCAGAGATGTCCCATAGCTCAGTGGTGTGGACTTTGAAGCCAGCCTGCTTGGGTTTGGGTCCAGGCTATCCAATATACTAGTTATGTGACCTTGGAGAGCTTATCCAAGCCTTTATGCCTGGATTTCTTCAAGTATAAAATGAAAATACAAATACCACATACATCATTCCCTTGCTTTCTGTTTTAAATGAGTTGCTAAGTGTAAGGCACTTTGAACAGTGTCTGACACATAAGTACTGCTTTTGTGTGGCATAAACGAATTACTCCTTTACTTCGTGGCATCAGAAAGCTATTTGATGGGAAATCACTGCATGAAGTTATTTTAGTTTTCTGCTGATTTTAGAACCAGCAATGGATCTGATCTGCCAACATTTTATCAAAATTTAATTAATGGTATATCCAGGGTGGTTGCAAATGTTGAAACTCAGGAAATTTATTTACTCATCTCCCAGATATGTGTGAAAGTTCTGCTTGGGATTATCTGTATTCTAGACAAACCATATCCAAAAGCCTTAACAATTGTTTCTAATTTTCAGAGCCATTAAATAAGAAAATCATGTGAATGAACAGCCAGTATTCTCATGTAGAATTCAAATAAACAAAATTTGGGAAGCTTTGCTTATTATACACTGCAGAATACTACCGGTAAATTGATTTTAAGAAATTGATTTTTTTCTATATTGAATTTCAATTAGGAAAGTTCTTTTACCCTCCAACTAGTATAGTTTTGTACAATTTGGTTTTTCCATAAAAACTAGTAAATGTAGCAATGATGATAAATATTGCTGGTGCTTTGATTAGAGATTCTCTTGATGGAAATCTGTTGAAATGCAGCCCATGACAATTTCTCAACCCATTTATATATTGCATTTAAAGACATTAAAATCAGAGATTGTTCAACATTGTTACTGTAAAGAAAACAGAGAAAATATGAACCTTCCATTAATTCTCTAAGAGTTGGCTGGCAAGAAACTTGGGGAGATGTAAAACTTGATCTCAAAATTCTCTAGGTTATCAATTATGGGGTCAATTTGACTAAAGTTGTGGAGAAAAGTAATTCTCCAATGAGAACTGGAGTAAATATCCCAACCAAATTAACAGAGGTGGCCCAATTGTGCAGACCAGACTGCCGCATTCTACCCTCGGTGACAAGCACTCAGGCAGCAATATGTGGTTCAGCCTCACAATGCATTAGGAAGTGTTGTTATGAGTCTCTTAATTAATATAGCTAGTTTTATTTTCTTAGCCTGATGATATTATCTGAAGATGCTATGAACATCCTAGAGCAAGGAGCAAAATTATTTAAAATTTAGCCAGGTGATCTTTTCATTAGCATCTTCAAAACCTAAAGCCACGCAGACATTAAGCAGAACTGTCAATGGATGAAAGATCAGAGGAAGAATGTGGATTAGCACTGAAAGATTAGATTTTGGAGATAAAAACTTTTATTATCTTTTTAAAGACACCATTAAAACTAAAAGATTTTCTTTCTTAAAAGGTCCTTTCCTGATAAAAGTAAAAAATCCAAGGGTTACGTTATAGTGAAGAATAAGCAAACAAACAAGCAAAAAAACTGGTTTTTGTAGTTTTTCTTCATGAGGTACATGCCGATTTATCAAATCTAAACTGTTTTCTCATTTCATTTTGTTTCGTTTTCCCTTATACTCTCTACTTTGATTTATTTTTGAAGAGTAAGAAAGAGAATAAAGACTTGCTTCTTGGTTTCATACTGACTCACTCTTAGAGTGGAGTGAACCAGTTACATCTAAAATAGGAAATGCATTTGATTACGCTCTTACATTGTTATAGAGTATTTTCTTGTAGGTTTAATAGATTATAAATACATACAGAATCTCAGTACTACTTACCTGGAGATATCAAGCCCTTTAAATATCCAACAACATTAGTCACTGTTTTGAATTTTGTAACTGTCTGAACTTGCATGTTGACAATTCTTTCATCTGAAAAAAAATAATAATAAGATTTTCCCCCTATATTCTGTCTTTTTCTCTTAAAAATTTCAATATCATTAACAAAAGAATTCCAAACAGTTGAATTTTTTCTGGAAAATCAAAGTTACACCTTTTCACAAGTTTCTATTCAATACTTTGTGTCAACTCTGTTTTAGGTACTTGTGATACAATGGTGACTAAGTTACCATTTCTGACCTCACAGAACTACAGAGCTATAAAGCAGCAGCCTAAACTCCACAGCCCAGAGCTGCAGTGAAGTTCAATATGAGAGCACCCAGAAGATCTCAGGGAGAAGTGGACAACTCATATTTAAAAAAATATGTATCAGATAAAATTATTTCCAAATAAATTTAAGTGCTTTTCTAGCTTCAGAAAAAAGAGCATGTGGAAGCTAACTTAACCTTTCCTGTATGACTCATTATTATGTTATCACATTAAAAACTGTAAAGCATTACAGAAATGAAAAGAATAAATATTTCTAAAGTTATACGTATTTCCAAATATTGCAGCCTTCATTTTTCACCTGTATTGGTTGCTTTCTCACTTCTATTCTAAATCTCCTCCTAATTGCTCTGCCTCTTTGAGTTCTTGTATTCATTCCTGATATTCAAAAATTTCAACAACAAATAAGGCAAAGACACCAATCCAGAGATGATTCAGTCACAGTCCTGAAGCCATCTTTGAAGGCCTTTAGGGGTAACATGTATTAATTCTGTATTTGATGGACCCTGGGAAGTCTGTGGGTAGGAGGTTTCTAGAAGGAGTTCAAGGGCAGCCCGGAGATTCTATCTGGGGGTGGAGTGGGGGTGGCAATTAGAAAGCAGCTAATACAAAGTAGCTGAGCTATACTGACAGGCCTTCAGTAGTGTCACTTCTTTTCACTAGATGAAAATTGTTACAATAAATAAGTTTCTTCTTTCGTTAAATGTACCCTTTCTAACAATTTAAATGGGAAATCATTATCCTGAATTTGTTAAAATTAAAACTAAAACAGGAGTAAGGATGTCATGAGAGAATGCCTGAGCAACTCATATATGAGAAATGGAAATCTGCTTAGAGCCCGAGTACTGTGGTTTTAATTTAAGCGTCATGCATTTGTGTTTGCTTTGATGAATATACTTGGTTTTTCACAGCAGTTTCAGATTTACAGAAAAACTGACTGGAAAGTTCAAAGCTCCCAAATATCCAATCTCTCTCCCCTGCTCCTATTAACATCTTTGATTAGAGTGATCTATTCATTACCATTGGTAAGACAGTATTAATACATAATTATTAACTATAAAGTCCATAGTTTGCATTAGGCTTCACCGTTTGTGTTACACATAATATGGATATTGACAAATGCATAAGGACATGTGTCCAATATTACTGTATCATACAGAATAGTTTCATTGCCCTAAAAATCTCCTGTGCTTTACCTTTTCATCCTTCCCCTACCCTCTCCTTATTGAACCCCTTGCAACCACTGAGCTTTTAAATTTCTCCATAGTTTTCCTTTTTCCAGAACATCACATAGTTGGATTCATATGTTTGGGGGGTTTTTTGTTTTGTTTAGTTTTGTTTTAAGACTATTTATTTACTATAGATAGAAAGATAGCAAGGGTGGGACAAAGGGAGAGGAAGGAGAGAATCTCAAGCAGACTCTCCTCAGAGCACGGAGTCCTACACTGCTGGCTCTCACCACCCTGAGATCATGACCTGAGTCAAAAATCAAGAGTTAGCTGCTTAACTGACAGAGCCACCCAGGCGCCCCTCAAATGTTTGTCTTTAATGTTTAATTCCATGTTCTATATTTGTTCCAAATAGGCCAGATAGTGAGCTTTAAATAAGACACACATTACTTTATAGTTTTAAAAAATATTTCCAGAGTATCTTTCAGTTAGATGTAGATGAAAAAATATTCTCTGATTTTGTAAGTTTTTTTTCTCCCCTAATTCAGAAGTGAGAAAACCTTACAAGATATAAAGACTACTGCTTGGAATATTACCTTGCATTAATACAGTGTCTTACAACTTATAACAATAGACGTTTATCTCACTGACTCTTGAAATGGTTAACCAAGTGAAAGTTTTTATTATCTTTATTGAATAAAACACATGGGGCAGAACTGAGACTCAAACCCGGGTCTTCATATATATAACATTTCTAGCTAAACAATAAAATCTCACTCTAAGCCTCCATTTCTCTCATTATAAGATATTCTTCATATATATAAAAGAATAAAAAATAATGCAACATACTATGATGATCCACATCTAGTTTTAAGATATTATTTTACTATAGTTTCTTAGTTCTTTTCCTTTTTCCTTTTTACAAATATGATTCCTTTTTACAAATATGATTTTGCAGATTTGATTATTACCCTAAGATTAATGTTAATCACTTTGGGTTTTGTTACATAGATTTAGATAATATTGAGAGATTGATAAGCAGATAAGTGTAGACAAGGGCATTGGCACATAAATAGAACCAATGTACTCTACTTTTTTATAGGCTTTGACATTTGACAGAAATTATTTTCCCTCCTTTTTTTTTCCACTTAGCATTATGTTTTTCATAACTTTCCATGAAGGTAAGTAGATGTGAATCATTCATTTAAACTGCTAAGTATATTTGATAATAGGATCAATCCCAGTTTATGTTCTAGTGTTACTGAACTCTAATGAGGTTATACCTAAATTTTCAACATTACATTGTAGCAAAAAAAAAAAAAAAATGTTTTTCTTTACATTTCTTTTGCACACGTGCCATTTTTTTCTTCAGTTAGATAACTAGAAGTTGTGGATTATAATATATGTGTACCTTCAACTATAATAGGTCCACAAAAGTTGCTCTTCAGAATTTTTAATTTTGACAATCTGACAGGTATAAAAATCTTATTATTGCTTTAATTTACATTTCCCTCATTACTAGTAGGGTTCAGAAATTTTTTTTTTAAATATTTTATTTATTTATTTATTTTTTATTTTTGAGACAGAATGAGAGAGAGGAAGCAGAGTGGCAGGCAGAGGGAGAGGGAGAAGCAGGCTCCCTGCTGAGCAGGGAGCCCAATGTAGGACTTGATCCCAGGACCCAATTGAGCCACCCAGGTGCCCCAACAATTTTTTATATGTATATTCATAATCCAGGTTTTTCATTTATGTTCTTTGACCATTTTCCTTTGAGTTGTTTATCATTTGGGGTATTTTTGTATTTTTTCTTTCTATTTAGAATATTATTCTCTTATTAGTTATATGTAGTACAAATACTTTTCAGTTTTTGATTTATATTTTCTAGATATTTATTATATTTTAAGTATTAATAAAGTCAAATTCAATAATTTATTATTTTTCCTTGAGTACTTGTGTTTTTTTTTATTTTTTGTTTGTTTGTTTAAGAAACACTATCATGGGGCGCCTGAGTGGCTCAGTGGGTTAAAGCCTCTGCCTTCAGCTCAGGTCATGATCCCAGCGTCCTGGAATCGAGCCCCACATCACTCTGCCTGCCTCTCTGCCTACTTGTGATCTCTGTCTGTCAAATAAATAAATAAAATATTAAAAAAAAAAAACTATCATGAAAATATTTTTCAAATATTTTAAAATTGAATTTTCAAATTCAAGTTTTTAATCCAGTCAAAATACACTGTGAAGTAGATATTCAATATTACCTCTGTGGTATGGATAGCCAATTGTTCACACATTTTTTATTAAAGACATTTGAGAATTGCATTAGGGCTGAATTAAATTAATGAACTCATTTAGGAAACTATATTGTGTCTTCTGTCCATAAACATTATATGCCTCACTATTTCAGTTGCCTTTTAGGTCTTTTAATGAAGTTTTATATTTTGTTCCAGAAAAGTTTTGAACAATTATTATTAAATTTATTTTTATGATTTTCCTGCTGTGATAACAATATATAATATTTTTAACTTTCTCTATTGTGTATAAGCATGGTATTTAATTTCTTACCTTGGTTGTACAATGTGCCTTCTTGTTAATCTCTTATACACTGTACTACTTGATCTATAGAGTTTTATTTTTGTTGGTTTCAATTTAGACAATTACCAAAAGAAGAGTTTTGTTTATTCTTTTCAAATTTTACAACTTTCAACTATTGTTCTTATCATCTTGTGTAGGATTGCCAGTGCAGTTTGGAATAAAGGCAATGAGAGCCTTATTCCTTGGTCCTTACTTTTTATTCTTCACTTTAGAAAGAATGTTTCTCAGATTTTATTTAAAAAACAAACAAACAAACAAATGATGTTTGTTATAGTTTCCTTAAAAATTCCCTTTCAAATTAAGGAAGAACACTTTTGTTCTTACTTTGCAAACACATTTTATCATAAACAGATGTTGAATCCTCTTTGAGATAATTGCAAGTCTTCTCAATTGACCATGTTAAAAAATGCATATACCCCTGGAAAAAGCTCGACTTAGTCATGATACGTATTTTTGTAACTGGGTATACTAGTATTTTTTTAGGATATTTGCATAAATAACAGAATGGCTGACAATTTTACTTATCATTTATCCTTGTCTGATTTTGGTATCTGGATTACACAACCTTCCAAATGTTTAGGGATATTTGCTTCTTTCCTGGATTTTTGAAGAGTTTACATGTAGCATAGGGATTATCCATTTTACAAAGGAGTGTTAGGAAACATACCTAAACTATTTGGTCCTCATATTTATATATGGGGTGAGGAAAGAGGGTACATTATCACAATGTACATTTACATTTCATTTCATTAATATTTTCAAATAAATATTAATAGTTATAAATACATTCAAATTTTTAACATCTTTATTTCTTCTAAATTTACTGCACTTAGTTGTTCATTCTATTCTTGTGCTTACCTAAGAAAGAGAAGAAAAAAAAAAGAAAATCACTGCCATATATCTGGGTTTGTTGTGTTTTGTTTTTTTTTTGTCTTTTCTAACATTAATTCACTCATCTTTTTTTTTTCCTCTATCAGTTTTTCTTGAAGTAGCTAATTTATTAGTATT